CCACCCCAGGGGAGGACATCCATCACACAGTAATCTCGTGTGTGGGAAATTAACGTCTCCTGCCCCAACCCTGCAAGAGACGGGACCTCTATTTATTCGTCCCTATCCGAGAAGTCTAGAATATCTAACCATTTCTTGATGTTGTAGAAAGGTAGCAAATTCTTCTCAATTATTTTAAGACCTTGAGTGTTGGTCCAGCCGGGGCTCGAACCCTCGACCTCCCGCACCACAGTCCAGCGCTCTATCCATTGAGCTAACCGGGAGGCGGTTTTAAAATGTTACTATTGTTATTATCATTATTATTATTATTATCATTGTTTCTACCTTTTTGTGAATTTATTAAATTATTATGATTATATTTTAGGGCTAGTGTAATTTTATCTCTTTAACAATAAAGACGCATTTTTATTTTAGCATCGGCAATACTAATATTGATGATGATGAAAAGGATTAGATTGTAAATAGGATTTTAATTGAAATCGGAACTACTATTAGGTGGTTTTTTTATTTTTAACTTGTAAATAGTTAGTTGCTTTGTGTGTTAATAAAGTTTGATTATTATTAATTTTAAAAATTATTATTATCGTTATTACTATCATTATTATTCAGATCTCTTTCTGGATTGACAACCAGTCGATTCCCGCTAGAACGGCGCTTGGCATTACCACTGTGCTCGCCATGACAACACTGCTATTTGGTGTCCAGTCTTCTCTGCCGAGTGTACCGTACATAAAAGCTGTAGATCTGTTTATGATTGTTTCATTCGCTTCTGTCTTTGTTGCACTGGTGGAGTTTGCGGTTGTTAACTATACAAGTATGCGTGAGAAGGAACAAAAGGAATCAAGAACAACGAAAAATAAATATACTGTGGCAAGTCCTTATCTTCCATTCATGAGCATGAAATAGTATAGCATGATGAATAAAAACTGTACTTATAAAAGTCTTAATATCAAGAGCTCTCATTACGCGAAAGTGTAATACTTGTTCTCCCGCAAGTTACGTCATTTCCCGCTCTTTTCACCCGAGGCAGCACACCAGTTTTCCCGCGTTTTTTCCTGGCAGTAAGTTTCTGATGCACGTGATACCCGTTAAATAATTTCCCGTCATCTTTTGTGTTTCCTAGAGATGAAAGACCTCCGTGCAGTTTGTGAATGGTCACGCTCAATTTTTTTCAAAAATTGTTAAGCTTTACTTCTTTATTTTTTTCCGTTTCGAAAAATGACTGTACTTTTATCTCTACAACAGAACCCAGACGTTGTTATGCTAAACTTCCGCAATTTGTCTTACGAACGCGACGGGAAAGATGAACATCATATGCAAAATGGCGTCTCCCACGACGGTACTGTGAGTAATATTGAGAACAACAATGCTGACGTTCACAAAATAAATGAACCAATGAGCAACGGTACCATTGATGAACACGCCCCACGTGATCGCAAAGATTCATCGCGTGATCTGTCACATGTCCTAGAACCTTCTCACCGCTCGAAAAAATGTCGCTGGCGATGTAAAGTTACAGCCAATGGAATAGACGCTTGGTCACGTGTTCTCTTTCCTTTGGCTTACGGACTCTTTATAGTAGCTTACTGGATTATTTATTCAGCAAATACGGAGAAAAGTTCCTGAACGATACCTTTCAGTTGACAAAAAAATCTCTTATTTGTCGAGCTTCTCATGTCCTTACGCATATGCAGAGAGAACAGAACAGATTTCACCATGACCCTGACCCTGACCATGACCCTGACCATGACCCTGACCCTGACCATGACCCTGACCCT